AATTCATAAGATCTCACAGTTGATAATCTTTTAACTAATCATTGGTTAAAAAAAAAGTAAGGGATGAGTTTCACCAGATATGGCTTCACCAATCAAGATCGAGGTGACATGTAATTGAGAGTAATAAATTGAATTAAAGTTATAATCCCTTGATCGTGTTTCGATTCACGTTTGCATGTGTTTTAGTAGGTTCTAAAAAGCTTGTTATTTTTTAATTCTCCAATGACTCATTATATTTTCCCTCTCTCCTTTTTAAAGGAAAAAAACAACCTTTGCAATTTTTAGCTAACTTTCTTAAAAACAACCTCGATAGCTTAAACTATCTTACCGACGGACTAAAAGGTATATTTCTTTTGTCTTGGATATACGAAAATACCATAAACTATTTTTCGCAAAACATACCTTATATGCATGATTATTTCAATTCTCTGCGCTTTACTGTATGAGGGACTCTATACATTTTCTTTTCTTTTTTTTTTTTTTTTGCCAAAAGGGACTCTATAAATTCAAATGACCCAGTTTCACTTTTTTTTTAGGACTTCTAAGATTTTTAATATAGCAGGTATCAATAATGCGTTTCTTCCATTTTGCTTTTGAGAAATTATTAGATTGTCCAACAATATCACGTCTTGTTCATGCTTTGCCCAATCAAAACGTTTCAAATCAAATCCTTTTTTTTTTGGTTAATTTTGATGGGAAAAGAAAACTTTAACTTGACATGTGAATGCCATTTAACTTGATTTTTAAACAAGACTACAGATGGTGATATATATATATATATATATATATAAATATATAAGTACGCACTACACATTTTGGAGGGTCCATCCCAACAAGGTCTGTGGAGTGATTTTGTGATGAGTGCGGTTCAAATTTTATATATAATGATGATGACGAGGGTCGTGATTTATTTATTGACCATAAAGTTTAGTGCGCGTTAGACATGTGAGAAGTTTTTTAAAATTAAACTTAATATATTAATATTTGAGAATGTTTTATCAATATTTAATATCTTAATAACATTTTTTTTAAAAAAAATTTTAGGGTCAAAGAATTAAAAGTATACTTTTAAAAGTTAAGGAATTAAATTGAAACTTTATACAAAGTTAAAAGACCAAATGTATGTTTCAGCCTATATTTTATATTTATGATCGGAAAAGTATGCATATATATTTCATTTAATCCGAGAATAATATCTCGACCTCCTTACCACACGTCATCTAATTAAGGTACCGGAGGGAAAATGATAGATTGTCGTGAAGCTGCGAAATTAGAAAATTAGTGATAAACTATATTTTGCGTTGTCTTGAGAGCGTTTTTAGTGAACTTGGCTTCTCTTTTTTTGGTTGCGGCCCCTGCTCTCTTTTACCTTGAAACCAATCACCACAAGCTTTTGGGTATAATAAGATGGAGACTAACTTTTTTTTTTTAATTCAAGATCATTCAGCCCACTAAAATATTTTTTTAATAGCATTCAGTACCTTAAAAAAAATTTAGTGCACTTGGTATTCTAAAATTTAGTGCACTTGGTAATCACCACAAGCTTTTGGGGTATAATAAGCACTCTTCCTTTATTTCACACACATATATATAAGAAACAATTTGTTAATATTTTTTTATCAAGTATAAAACAATATTGCATAGTTTAATATTTGATGCGATTTTTTTTCAAAAAACCCATGAGTACTGTCATTCTTTTTTCTTTTTATATAAACTCAGAATATTTTGAAATCGCTTTGCACTTAAAATTAATTCCTGTATACTTTCCATCTTTTAACCAACGGTGGACTACAACTTAACTGTGTTTAACGATGGACATACAAAGTAAGAAAGAAAATATTTTCAGACATCCAACCATTTTTAATTATGTCACTGTACTTTTTTCCCCCCTCAATATCATGATAACGCGGAGGAGTGATGTACGAGACCATCGATAAAATTAAGAAACACTTTCTGAACCAAGTGCCTTCCCCCTCACATATATGTATCTCTTCAATTTTACTTAATATGTTTTTACCAAAGTTTAAATACTAAAAAAGATATATTTTTATATTTTTTTGATTTAATTTATTGTTGTGATATAGGAGTATATACACATACATAATTATTAGGTTTTGAAGTCTTTGAGCGAATCGTCCCACACTCAGAATTGTAGGAGTGAAATCATGCTTTATCACCAAATTTGTTGTTTTGTTTTTTGCTTTTAGCTAGGTGTCAGGGAAAATTTGTTGTTCTACACATCGGAAGGAGCTTTCCGCGAAATTGCATATTTGAAATTAGAGTGCAGGTGATAGAGAATTTCAAAGCTAGCTCGGGACGCAAATACATACTTTTGTCTCATATGTAAAAATTAAATCAATTCCATAATCAGTTCTTATATTAAGTATCGGTGGAGTATTATATTTTTTACTTATTATCTTGTTCCCACCACATGTCATTAATTTGAATTTAGCATGAAAACGAGGGATGTAATTAAGATGGTCGTTAAGCTTCGTCTTGGAAGATCAGTTATTTGAATTTCGACCTTGTATCGGCAAAAGGAGGAACATGTCGTGTTAACGGGAGTATAAATTATTTAATTTAAACACGTCAACAAATTTCTGGGAAATTATTAATTAGTGAGCTGTTATATATCAATCCTTTCCTTTTTGTTTTGTGATTTTTTTCTGTGGGTGAATTTTCTTCAGTAAACTTCCCAAGATCTCCCTCTAAGACCAATTGGCCAAGGTACTTTGCTGATATAAGTACTATATTTTTCAATGAATTTTTTTGCTTGAATATAATCCTTTTCATTTCGTTTTTTGCTTTAAGATCTCATAGAAAATATTTTGTTATACATGGAAGAGAATTTACTTATAGTCGTTGAATGGAGCTTTTCAGGAAACTGCACATTTGAAATTAGAGCGCAGATGACGGTGAATCTCGAAGCTAGGGACATACCTGTCCTTGTCAGGTGGAAATTGGAAAATAAAAGTGAGAATGATAGTTGTTGAATATTGACCGTGGAGCTTGGGGCTTTTATTACGTGGGATCAGATTATACTTTTCTTTGCCATTTTTTTTTAAACAACTTATTAAATAGAGTGAAAATCATAGTTGAGAAAAGCGCGGGTATGCATATGATTGACAGGAAAATGAAAGATTGCATATTAATTAGAACATGCAAAAACAAGTTAATTAATTTAATCGTATAAAAATTACATACTCTCAGCAGTTATGTCTATGCATTCTAATAGATCAGTAACAGCAGCAAGTTAGTACTGTGTCCGGCATTATCAATAATTCTTTTTGTTTATCTAAATGATATTTTTTTTCTTTGGTTCAATTTTCTTCAGTAAACGATCTTTAAAGTGTCCCTTGTGAAATCATCAGACCAAGGTATTTCTTGACGACAAGTACTGTTTTTCTTCAATGATTTTTTTTTTTTCGTTTTTCTTGAATCCTTTTCTGTTTCTCAGATAAAATTTTTTGTTCTACATGAGTATTTTCTTAAAGTAGTTGAATGGAGCTTTCCACGTCACTGCATTAATTCGAAATCAGAGAGCATGCAGATGATAGAGGTTGAAGCTTGCTGGGACGCAAATACCTGCTATTCTTTGCCGTTTGGAAACTAAAGTAAAATATCTTTTTTAATCTTAGCATTAATAGTAAATGAAGGCTCTTTTTTAAAAAAAAAAAAAATTCACCGCACATCATTTGCAGTTAGAGCGTGAAAATGGTAGATGTAAGATGGCCACGAAGTTTGGAAATTCTCCACTTCCTTTACGTTTGTTTTCCTCCATTTTTTTATTCTCACCGTTTACTCAACTTCGAACCATCGAGATTTAATATTTTCTAAAAAATAAAAAATATATGAAATATTTTAATAAAAACATAAAGTTGTGAAAGATTCAGATCAACTCTTAATAATTTAAATTTATTTATATACAATTTTTGTCATTTGATATTGAACTAATATTTTTGTAGGATATTAAATCTTAAACGTGCTAAGTTAGTCTAATGATGATAATAAAGGAGGAGAAGGAAGTGGACGGTGGTAAGAAGAGGAAGGATGTTCCCTCTCGCTGAAGCTTCTGGGAAGATCAACGATGGAATATATTATGCGCGCTATGGACTCATAATTTTATAATATTGCTAAGCATAAAGCCTATGTCGATGGGAGTGGTTGGTATTCATACTTGAAAACAAATTGATCCAATTTAAATACGTTAAGAAGTTGCTAGGAAATAATTAGTGAGAACCAATCCTTTGTTTTATATTTTTTTTCTTTGGTTAAATTTTCTTCAGTAAATAATTCAACGTCTCTCTCATGAAACCGAATATAACCAATTGTGCAAGATATTTCTTGATGACAAATACTACTTTTTTCATTGATTTTTTTTGTTTTCCATAAATATAATCCTTCTTTTTTTTCTTTTCTTTTTGGGCTTTACGGTCTCATAGAAATTTTTTCCCAACATAAGTATTTCCTTAGAGTAGCTGAATGGAGCTTTGTATGAAACCGCGTTAAATTAATTTGAAATTAGAGGGCAGTGATAGTTGTTGAAGCTTGGGACGTGAATACGTACCTTTATTTGGCGTGTTTTAGATTGATCGGAAATTAAGTTAGTGTGAATATGATAGTTACAGGATATTGACCGTGGAAAGTAAATTGGAAAAATTGCAATTTAGGACCTTGAAATTACAAAAATGTAGATAGAGACATTTGACAACTTCACTTTGGGTTTTGACAACAATAATGTGTCATGAAGTTGTCAAAACACAAAATGAAGTTATCAAGGGTCCCTATCTGCGTTCTTGCAATTTCAAGATTCTAAATTGCAATTTCCCCAAAGTAAATTCCCGTCCCGACAATAATGCCCCAACATGTTTTGTAAGTCAAGATTCTTAAGCTTTTGTAGATTTCAAAATGAAAGATTACACATTAGAATGTGTAAAAACAAGTTAACTTGATCATAAAAATTACATACTCCCAGCAATTATCTCTATAAATACTAATAGATGTCTAGCATTATCGACTCGGCAGAGTGTCTAGCATTATCGACTCGGCAGATATACACTGGTGAAAGAAATGGGGATGATGTGGACGGGTTTTCTGAAATTGCTGGTGTTAGCTATGACAGCGTTTGAGGTTTGGAGAGCCATGGGTGCTGATTAGGTTTAATGCATAGAGAAGGAGAGGGACGCCTTACTTCACTTTAAGACTGCTCATGGGAATGATTCTTCCCTTGTCAGATGGTCTTCATGGGGTAGCAAACAGCACAAGACAGATTGCTGTGAATGGGAGGGAGTCTTCTGCAACAACCAAACTGGCCATGTCATCAAGCTCCATTTGCCTGGTGATTTTCCAGAGTTCCGCTTGAAAGGTGAGATCGATGCATCATTGGCGGAGTTACAATATTTGACGTATCTGAACCTTAGTTCCAATTATTTTGAAGATAGCTCCATCCCCAAATTCCTTGCCTCTCTACGGCACTTGAGATACCTTGATCTCCACGACTGCGGTTTAAGTGGAGGAAATATTCTGACTCAACTTGGGCTTTTTTCACATTTACAATATCTTGACCTCTCGTGGAATTTCGTTGGAGGAGCAATTCTTTTTCAGCTCAGAAATCTCTCGCAATGGAGGCATCTTGATCTCTCAGTCAATATTCTTAAAGGAGAGATACCTTGTCAACTTGAAAATCTCTCACAATTGAGGCACCTTGATCTCTCGTGGAATTTAAATCTTACAGGAGCAATACCACATCAACTTGGAAATCTCGTGCAGCCGCAGCATGTTGATCTTTCGAGAAATAATCTTAGAGGAGCAATACCTTATCAACTTGGAAATCTCTCACGATTGCAGTATCTTGATCTCTCAGATAATACACTTAGCGGAACAATGCCTCATCAACTTGGGAACCTCACGAACTTGCAAAATCTTCTTCTACGTGACACAGGCACTCTCAAGATTGATCAAGAAAATAGTGCTAGACATGAGTGGCTGTCTAGTCTCACATCTTTGACTCGTCTAGAGCTGCAAAATGTAACTGGTCTCACATATTCTCACAACTGGTTGCAAATGATTGCAAAGCTGCCCAACTTGAAAGAGCTAACTATAACATACCATAATCTTTCAGATGAGTGTATCCTCTCCTTACCCTCTTTAAAATTCAATTCCTCTTCTTCTCTTTCTAAATTGGATTTCATGGGGAATAATTTCAAGTCATCTGCAGTATTCCATTGGATCTTAAACATCAGCCCCAACCTTGTTGATCTTAGTCTTCAGTCGAACCAGCTAGAGGGTCCCATCCCTTTTGAATTTGCTAGCCTGATGAATTCTCTTGAGAATCTAGACCTTGGGTCTAATCAACTTAAGGGTGGATTTAAATTCCTAGGGCATATATGTACCTTGCATTCTTTGTCCCTATGGTTTAATCTTTTGAGTGAAGAACTTTCAACAATTCTTGAAACTTTTTCTAGTTGTGCCCGGTGTTCTTTGCAATACTTGGACTTGAGCTATAATAACATAACTGGCACACTGGTAAGCCTTTCCACATTCTCATCTTTAAAGAATTTTGACATTTCATATAACTCGTTGAATAGGACAATACCCAATGATTGCCGATTTCCCTCATCACTAGTGTCTCTGGACATTCATTCCAACTCCTTAAAAGGCATTCTCACAAACTCACATCTTGCCAATATGGACAACTTAAAATTTTTGGACCTATTTGACAACTCATTCACTTTGAGATTTAGCCATAATTGGGTCCCACCATTTCAATTGGAAGCCATCTATTTAAGGTCATGCAAGTTGGGTCCTAGTTTTACGGAATGGTTGCAAACTCAAAATAATTTCATGGAACTCGACATTTCAAATAATGGAATTTCAGGCACTATTCCAAAGTGGTTTTGGGGTTTGTTGACACCACAACTTAAAAACTTGAATGTTTCATGTAACAACATTTCTGGTATTTTACCAAATGTTGCCATAGAATTTGCTAAATACCCTATCATAGATCTAGCTTCAAATCAGTTTGAAGGCTCACTTCCAAAATTTCTACAAAATGCAGGGGCACTTTTTTTTGTCAAATAATAATTTTTCTGAGCTTCAGATGTTTTTATGCGCAAAATGGTCAAGTCCAGCATTGATTTTATTAGATCTTTCTGATAATCAATCATATGGGCAGCTTCCTGATTGTTGGAGTCCTTTCAAATCATTATGGTTTTCAGACTTGAGTAATAACAAGTTCTCTAGAGAATTTCCCATTTCTGTGGGTTCTCTACAAGTTCTTCAAGTATTGATATTGCAAAACAATGGGTTTACTGGAGAGTTGTTTGTTACTTTGAGGAGTAGCTTAAGTTTAGCACTTCTTGATGCAGGGAATAACAAGTTCTTCTGACATATACCTTCATGGATTGGGAATGAATTGCAAAATTTGGAAATTTTAGTCTTACGAAATAACAACATTTTGGGAAGTTTGTCATCAACTCATCTTTGTTATTTATCAAACCTTCATTTTTTGGATCTCTCTTCAAACATTCTATCTGGCCAAATCCCCAAATGCTTCAAAAACTTCACACAAATGGCTCTACGAGGTGCGTATAATTTTTTATCTGGTAGTATTATAGTTGATATTGTGGAGGATGGAGCAACTGATGTCTCTTATGATAGAAGTGCATTGCTGATGTGGAAAGGCCAAGAGCGTATTTTTAAGCATATTGGTTAAAGGTATTGATCTTTCAAACAACAAGTTAACAGGAAAAATTCCACCAGAACTAGGAATGTTGGTTGAATTGATTTCATTGAACTTATCGAGGAATCAATTAAATGGAGAAATTCCTTTGGAAATTGGACAATTGACATCATTAGATTCTCTTGATTGTCTAGAAACCACCTGTTTGGTCCAATTCCTTCTAGTTTTGCTCAAATTGATCGTCTTGCAGTGTTAAACTTGTCATATAACAATCTTTTCGGAAAAGTTCGAATTGGAATACAACTGCAGAGTTTTGATAGCTCAAGCTATAAAGGAAATCTTGGCCTATGTGGAGAGCCACTTGACATAAAGTGTCCTGGAGGGGAAAAACCTCAAGAATCAATTAAATTCCAAGAAAATAACGATTCAATTTTTTCCAGGGAGTTTTATTAGAGCGTGACATCTAGATTCATTATTGGATTTTGGGGAATTTTCAGGCCAGTTCTTTTTAATCACCCTTGGAGGCATGCATACTTCAAATTCCTCAACAATGTGACAGACGGCATTTATATTATGGTTGTGCTAAATGTGACAAAGCGCAATAGGTGATTTACAGGCTATTTGGTAATACTTCTCATGTTCTTACTTCTAGTTTTTGCATGCCTACTGTTAATTATTAGTCTTTACTTTATATGTATTTGTGCTTTTATATAACTTTTGCGGATTTAACATTTAACTTTACTTATGATTTTATGGTATTATATCTTATTAACAAATGGGCAAGCTTTTTTTTCCCTTTTATTATCATTAAGTAGTTAAACACCTTAAAATTCACTGTGCCGGTATAACACGACAAATTAAAATAAAACCAGCAACTCATAAACTTACGAATGGAAAATTAAGTAGTTATGAGATTTAATTATAATTATATGAAAATTGTCAATTTCATGTTCTGCATACTCATTATATAATAAAAATAAATATCAATAGCCTACCACTAATGGAAGGTTTTGAGAAGTTAGCATAACAAATTAATCATAAAGCATCTCTGTTCTTTTAATATTAACTTCTAGTTGCTATGTGTGTAAAAATGTAATTATATTTGTTTTCCGTAACATCAAGCTACCTGGTTCCTTGCTTTTTGCAGGACAAACTCAGGTGAACATCTTCAAGCTTGAAGGTTGGAGTAAATGCAGAGCAGGAGACATGACAAATATGGGCTAAGAGTTTGGTGCTGGAAGACCGACATAACTGACTGCAATGATCAAGTAGTTATTAATTTCTAAATTAAATAATCAAACGTTAGAGCATGTTGTCGAGCTCTGAAAGACTAAGTATTGCTGGTTTGTACTGTTTGTTTTATTGTGTTATTATATTATGATATCAAACGATAACAACTGTTATACTGCAAGTTGAATAATTTTGATGGAAATGATGCTTTGTCTGCACATAAGTACCAATGCACTACGAGGGTTTTGATTGGTATACACATGCACAAGTGAATTGAAAACACATGTATTATGCATTGAAAGAAGGCACAGGGGCGGGTCATGTCATTGTATAAGCCGCAGAAATCTATTTGCATGGTGATGGGTGTCATCAACCATCGAGGATTTAGAGTCAGGTAGTGTGCTTGATTTGCATTCACTCGTTCTTCTCTTCTTCCGCCCGAATTTACTCCAAGACTTCGTTATATAGTGCTCATTATGATGTGTTTGTGTGGTTCATGTTGAGGTTTGCAATTGATGTCTCACACAGTGGTAGTGGCAGTAGCAGAGGTTTCATGCTCTGTTTCTGAATGGAAAACAATGATTTCGTTGCATACCGTGCCGGCGAACAGAATAACAGAAGTTATATTGTTCTCTTCGTCTTCTCGCTTTCGCTTTCGTTGCCGTTTTCCTTTGTGACGTCGCAATGGACACAGGAAGCAGAAGCAGAAGAAGAAGAATCTGTGATGCTTTTGGAAGCTGAGTGACCCATGTCATGTCGGATATCAAAGATCACCATTTTAGCTCCGTGCTGGGAGAAGAGCCTTGCAGTACGCTCACCAATTCTGCTCGCACCGCCTCTGATCAGAGCCAAACATGCATATTAAAACTTCAAACATGCAGATCGGGAAGTTGAGTTCCATTAATTGAAGGATGATGTTGTAGTTTTGGCTTACCGTCTCATGGCCAACGAGGCTAACAACAATATGGAAGCACTTCCCATGTTGGAGCCTTAATTTTGAGCCTTCTTCAATGCCAATCTTAGATTAATGTGTGTTAATTCGAATTGTACTGTGTGTTATATATAAAATAGAGGTATTTATAGAAAACATATGAATGGTCGATCGATTTCAACTTCAGTGATTCCGTGCTCGTGATGGCCGTAATAGGCACTGTCCTTTAATTTCTCTCCTGCTTCTTCAACAAGGTTTGTAGGGTGTTTTTGTGTTGCTGGCAAAAAAGTAGAGTGATTTTGTGTTGAGTGTAATCCAAATTTTATATATAATGACGATGAGGATGGTGGTAATTTACTTAGTTACGACAACTTTTAGTGCGTGTTGGACTTTTTTTCCTGCTCTTTTTTCTCTCCAACTCATAATCAGCTTGAAAAGGGGAAAAAAGTACAAATTCATATATATGGTGAGAGTTTACATGTAAAGTCATTGTTGCATGTGGAAAAGGGCACCATTTCAAGAACAAAAAATATAAAAACTGCTCAAGTGGAGATATCATTCAGCTTAGCCAAGATAATAGTTTGGAACCGCCTGGTTACCAGGAGTTGTACCGACTTAATTATAAGTCTTGAGATTGAATCTTGAAAATGTAATTGCCTTAATGCTTGGTTTAGCTTGAGAGAGCTTTTGTTGTCCTTTATAGTCTTGTCCTGCTCAATCCACATTATTTCAAGTCTTGTTATGTCCTCTGGTTAAAAACAGGACAATCGCATAATATCTGGTGGTTCAATTGGGGCCAAAAAAAGAAATACAAAGATTTGGAGAGGGAGTTTGAAATTGTGGAGGAGAATCACATTTTTCTTGAGGAATTATTAAAATAAGATTACTCGTATTGGGTATAAGGTTTCTTAGGATAATGCATTTTGTGACGAAAATTATTAAGTCCTTCACTGCTTGAAAATACATAATTTGAGTTTGCAATTAGAGAGAAAAAGAGAGGTAAAGTCATTTCATGTTCATTTTACTTTAAAATTTGATGTTTGATCTATCAGAGTACAGAAGCATCAAAGATTGGGCTGTGTGGGCGCTTGATCAAAACGACGAGCCTATTACGGCCCAAAATATCTTATCTCCGCTTGTAGGTCTTATGGAAATGGCACCCCAAATTTGATTTCCGAGTTAAAATCCTTAAATTTTTGTGGATTTCGAGATGAAAGATTGCATATTAATTAGAATGGGTAAAAGCAAGTTAATTAATTTAATCATAGAAAATTACATGCTCTCACCAGTTATCTCTATGCACTGCTAATAGATCCAGTTCCTGCAGCAATTACTCCTGAGCATGATTTGATCAATTAACTCAATAAGAGAGAGTAACCACATTTGAATGCTTTCCAAAACTATGGTTGCGGGGAGTATGTAATTGCCGATTTGTCATAATGCGAATGGCTCAATTATTTCTAGGGAGTTTTATTGAAGTATGGCGTTTGGATTCATTATTGGATTTTGGAGAGCCTTTGGGCCAATGCTTTTTAATCGATCCTAGAAACACGCGTACTTCAAGTTCGTGAACAATTTGACCGATTTTATTTGTGTTATGGTTGCAATGAATGTGACAAAATGTCATACATGGCTCAGAGGTTATCTGGTAATACTTTCTTACATCTTTATTCTTGCTTTTATAGCTTTTCCATCGCATACCTACTATTGATTAGTTTCTACTCTACTATATATTTGTGCTTTTAATTTCTGCGCATTTCGTATTTAACCTTTTTTTCTGCCATCAGTATTTAACCTTAACTTGTAATTATGCAGTATCAGATCTGAACAACTTGTCAAGCTTATATGTTTTGTTATCATCAAGTAGTTAAATCAGCTTAAAATTCATTGAGCTGGTGTAATATCACCAAAAAAGACACTCACAAACTTACGTTTTTGGAAATTAAGTATTTATGAGATTTAACTATAATTATATGAAAAAGTCAAATTTATGTTTTGCATTATTATTATTATATAATGAAAATAAATATCTATAGCCTACCACTAGTGAAAGGCTTTGAACCTTCGTAGCATAACAAATTAATCATAAAGCGCCTCTACTCTTTTAATTTTCATTTCTGGTTTTTCTATCTGCCATAAAAATGTTATTACTATTTTCAGTTTTCCTTAACATGAAGCTAGTTTGTTCCTTGCTTTTTGCAGGAGAAACTAGGGTGAACATCTTCAAGCTCAAAGGTTGGACACTACATGCAGAGAAGCGAACATGACATATATGGGCTAAGAGTTTGCTAGAAGACCAACGTAACTGATTGCAATATTCAAGCAATTAGCAATTACTAAATTAGATAATGGAACGTTAGAGCATATTGTTGAGCTCTGAGATACTATATATTGTTTTGCATTGTGTTATGATTTTGATATCAAACAATGATAATCATTATAGTGCAAGTTCATAAGATGTTATTATTATTTTACTCATCAAAAAACTGAACTGAAAACACACATGCATATATGAATTGAAACAAGGCACAGAGGCGGGTTCTGT